TGGCTGTTCACAGTGAAGGCAGACACCCAGGCTGGAAGGGGTCTGAAGGGCAGGGCTTGGGCCTCCCCAGCAGCCCAGCTCCTGCTGCTGGTGGTCAGACGGACTCTGCAACTCCACCCACAGCCACACAGGCAAGGTACGCGGCTGGAAGGCTGGGGCACTGGGCGCAAATGTTGCGGGGCAGAGGGGACAGAGGAAGGCAGGGGCCAGGAACCCTAGGGAGGAGGGGTGGCCCTGTCTTTATTTTTTCTTGGTCGGTAAGACTATGTTTGTGCACCTGTGTGACCAAGTGTGCTGCCCCTCTGTGTGCGATAGGGAGTTTGTGGGCCAGTGGGCCTGTGTGTACCTCTGTGCCTACGAGCCCGCGGGTCCCACAGGCTGACGGTGTGTCTGCACGTGACATTGCTTGTGTGCCTGTGGTTGAAGTTTCAGAGTGTGTCTAGCCCTCTGCAGTAGGAGTTGGCAGGGGCAGGGCTGTTGAGGAAGGCCCAAGCCTTGTCCTCCAGCCTCTGCTTCAGACCTGGGTATTTTCCTCAACGATGAAAACACGGACCCTTGAGGGAAAGGAGAGAGGTCCAAATTTCTGTGTGAGCCCAGGGCAGATGGCTTCTCCGCGTAGCCAGCTGAGATCTGATAGGCAAAAGGTCTGGACAGGCCAGGGTGAGGAATGTCCTCCCCACATATTAATTTGTATGCTTTCTCCCGACCTGACAGGGCTTTCCTGGATATGCCCTGGGATAACCGAGGACACGGCCACTCTAGGATAAAGGGCAGCCCCTGAGAAGAGGAGGGAGATGATAAAGGCCCCCCCCCCCAGCATCCCTGACCTTAGTGGAGCCTAAACTCCTTTCTTCTCTATGCACATGTATTGAGGCTTGCATGGGCCAGGGGCTGATCCAGGGGCCAGGGATACAGACATGGTCCCTTCCGCACAGGAGGGAGTAGGGTTCCCCAGGAGTCCTCATGAGACTGGCTGATACCCCAGTGTGTCAGGACAGTCAACCCTGCAGCCCAGGTGTAGGAGCCCTGTCTGCCATAGTGGGATATGCACACATGTGCACGTGCACACGCAGGGAGCACTGGCCAGCCACCAGCCACCAGTGAGGGGCATCAGGCTGGGGATGGGCCTGGGCTGGGGGACACAGAGACACGTAGGAGCTTGTCTGAGAAGGCTGTTTAGGGTAAGTGTGTGTTTTCATTTTAAAGGCCACCAGAGTAGCACCCTAGAAGTACACGGGAGGCCCTGGGGCCCCACGGACACATCTACTAGCCTCCTCCATGGCACCCTTGGCTACCTCCCCTGGCACAGTAACAGCTGCTGCTGACCCACTATATGTGAGTGCTGCTTGATGCCTCAAATACCCTGCTACCCTACCCAGCTTAGGCCACACAACAACCTGGGAAGTAGCTATTGTATGTTATCATTGGATGTTACTAATGAAGTGAGGGGCCTGGGAGAGGCCTGGCTCTGTGGGGTTCCAAATGCCACTGCAGGGCAGCCTGTGTTCTGCACAGCCAGGGGCCTTGTCTGGGTTTCCAGTTTGGAAGCCTCAGGGGCTGGGATGAGGGTGGGAGAGCCGGGTGTTAGAGGAGGCACAGGCAGAGCAGCTCCAGGCCTCAAGGCTTCCCTCCCTCTGCTCAGCCTGAAAGGGTTTAGGGGGAGGAGGGAAGGCTGCCGCCAGGAGCTAGTAGAGGATTGAAGGGAGAGAGAATTGCAGGAGTGAAGTCCTGGGTTGCTAGCTGCCCTGGAGGTGGCCAGGGACCACAGGGGTGGGTCTTCTGCAAGGTGGAAAGGCTCCCTCTGCTGGACAATGTTGTCTGACCAGGGGCCCAGGCATCGCGGTCCCTTCCACCGCATCTCCAGGCCAGCCAGGACAGAGAGGCAGAGAGAATGACAGAGGGCAAGCTCCCTGGCCTGGAAGGTGCAGCGGTTTCCCCAGAGCAGGTTGGAGGTGGGAGGGAGAAGCTCAAAGAATCAGAGGAGCTGCCATGGAATGAGCACAGGCTTTGGAGTCTCACAGACTTTGCCACTTATCAGCTGTTGACATTGGGCAAGTCACATAAGCTTTGCAACCCATTTCCTCAACTGTAAAAAAGGAAAGTTGTGAAGATTAAATAAGAAAGTGATATTAACAAGACCAGGTACGGTGTTCTCACAGCAGCCGCGTGAGCGTGTTTTGCCTGCCTCCATTCTACACGTGGGGGCAGTGAGGCTCAGACAGGTTGATAGCCTGCCCGGGGTCACAGGCCAACTTCCAGGCTGAAGCATCCGGCCACCATGCTTTTCTGAGACCACAGATGGAGTTTCTTTCCCCGTCTGTAATGCCCAATGCCAAGGCTGGCCTTCCGTGCCGCAATTTCAGCAGTGGGTGGGGAGGAAAGAACTCCCACTCACCTGGAGGCCCAGAAACAGCTCAGACTTCCCCAGACCCTTCCTTAAAACCTCACCTCTTTTTTTTTTTTTTTTTTTTTTTGAGACTGAGTCTTACTCTGTCGCCTGGGCTAGAGTGCTGTTGCGTAAGGCTAGCTCACAGCAACCTCAAACTCCTGGACTCAAGCAATCCTCTGCCTCAGCTTCACAAGTAGCTGGGACTATAGGTGCTTGCCACCATGCCCGCCTGGCTCATTTTTTTTTTTTCTACTTTTTTAGTAGAGATGGGCTCTCGCCCTTGCTCAGGCTGGTCTCGAATTCCTGAAGCAATTCTCCTCAAGCAATCCTCCTGCTTTGGCCTCCCAGAGTGCTAGGACTACAGGCGTGAGCCACCGTGCCCAGCCAATACCCTACCTCTTGACAGCATTATAGGGTCTGCAGAACCCTCTCACCCACATTATCTGAGGAATCACTCCGATAGCCCTGTTTGCTCCATTTAACAGATGTGAAAGCTGAGGCAAGAGAAACCTAAGTGCCTTATTCAAGATCAAACAGGTGGGAATCAGTGAAGTTAGCCTTGAGCTCATTCCAGTCCACCATTGTTGCCTTCAGGGCCCTCTGGGAGAAATCGCACATTAACCCTATTAGTCATTTTCACCTCAGAGTATATGTATATGTATGTGTTGAGCGGGGGTCCCCTATTCAAAGAGCACATTTATTTTTAAATTTTCACAATATGGTAATACATAATTTAAAAGTCACCATGCTCTTTGTAGAATTCCAAATAATTTGAATACTCTATCCTCAAGGGGCTGGAGTATAATTCCCCACTCCTTTAGTATGGGCTTCACATGGTGACTTCCTTCCCAAGAGTGCAGTACAGAAGGGGGAAAAGAGGACTTCACAGTGGGGAAACCTGACACTACCTCAGCCGCGCGATCAAGGCCAACAGCAACAGTGTACCCCCACGTGCCTATGAAAGTGAAAACTTTACCTCTGTCTATGCTCTTCCTCCCGAAAACCCCTAACCCCAGACTAATCCTAAGAAAAACATCAGACAAATCCTGACTGAGGGACATTTGCAAAATACCTGACCAGCACTACTCAACGCTGTCAAGAGTGTGAGAAACAAGGGAAGTCCGAGAAACCGTCACAGTGAAGAGGAGGCTAAGGAGATGTAACAACTAAATGTGATGTGGTGCCCTGGATGGGATTCTGCAATAGAAAAGGGACACTGGGTAAAAACCAAGGAAATATAAATAAAATATGGATATTAGTTAATAATGTATTAATATTGGTTCATTAATTGTAACAAATGTACTATACTCACATTAATAATAGGGGAAACTGGGTGTTGGATATGTGGGAATTCTGTGTATGGTCTTCACAACTTTTCTGTAAATCTAAAACTATTCTAAGAAATACATTTTTTTAATCAAACAGTTCAAAAAGATATTTAGCGGAAAGTTTCCTTCCCACTCCTGCAGCTGTTCGGTCCTCTTCCAGAGAAATACACTGTGTTTCTCCCCAGGGATGTTCCAGGGAGGCAGTATCGTTTAGTATTAACAGCCTGGAGGCCACAGCTGGATGGCTGGTTCTCGAGCTTGATCTCTGCCAGTTTCTAGCTGTTTCTACCTGTGAGACCTGGGCAACTCCTCAGCTTCTCTGCACCTTGTGTCCTCAAAGATAAAAATCCTCAAGACTATTGGAAGGCTTAAATGTGTTAATAATGTATACAGTAAGTTCCTTATAAGTGGTTGTTATAATTATTATGAATACAAAAGCAAATATAGTTATATAACAAATGTGTTCAGAAAAAATATCCAAAACTTGTAAATAAGGCCAAAAAAGTTACCAAGTGCCCTTTCAAAGATATTTTAGATCCTTAGCTAATAACCTTACCTATAGGTCATCTAGGGGAAGTTCACTTTGTTTGACATACTATTTGCTATTGATTAGGGCCCAGACTCCCTAAAACATGAGGTTAACCTGTTAAAGATTGATAAATAGCAAATTATTTTTGTCTGCTAGAAAAAAATAAAAACAGTTATGGTCTTACTGCCAGGTAGCAATTAACTTGTTTGTATCTAACTTTGCAATATGATTCCAGTATTCTTTTCTCCACTGACTGTCATTTTTTTTTTCTTTGATCTATCCTGCTAGTTCACTCATTAGGTAGTTAAAAAAAACTTGGTACCCAGTGTGTATTTGCATTAGTCATGTTTATCTTTGTGAAAGTTTTACTTTGACAAATAGAAACACACTGTTCCACCCCTCAGTTATTTTCACTTAATACATCTTGAAGATAGTTTCATATCAGAATATAGGTTCCTTATTCTTGTTTTATAATACACTGTATAGAATATACTATATGGGTGTACAGTAATTATATACCTAATCAACTTAGCAGTCCCTCCCCTTTTTTCTTTTAGAGTCAGGGTCACCCAGGCTGGAGTGCTGTAGCAAGATCATGGCTCACTGCAGCCTCAAATTCCTGGCTCTAGCAAATTGATCTTCCTACCTCAGTCTTCCTGGTAGCTAGGATTACAGGCATGTGCCACCATGCCTATTTAAAAAATTTTTTTTGTAGGGACAGCGTCTCACTATGTTGCCCAGGCCAGTCTCAAACTCCTGGGCTCAAGTGATCCTCCTGCCTCGGCCTCCCAAAATGCTGGGATTACAAGCATGAGCCACTGAGCCTGTTGATGGACCCTTAGGTTGTTTCCACCCTTTTACTGTTGGAATCGACGTTGTAATGAATGACCTTGTATATAGGTTGAGAGCAGATGCACTTAGGCAGAGGTGGATGGGAAGGCAGAAGAGGCTCTAAAGGGAAGAGGAGCCTAGGGAGAGGCCTGATTACCTGATCCCAGCCTGGCCTAGCCCTCCTCCTCCTGCCTCCTCCTCTCCATCCTGAGCTGCTGGTATGGCCAGAGAGGAAGGGCCAGACATCGATGCCCTGCCTGACTGGGGTTCCGGTTGCACTGGCTGGAGGATGAAGATGCCTTAGAGAGGAGGATCTTGGGGACTTGGGGCCTCGGGCTGGTACTGTCCCTGGGCTGTAGCCACTGAGGACACACACTCAATATGCCCTGCGGGCTCTGGTAGGGGACAAAGGCTTGGGGTCCAGGGACTACCGGGGGAGGGGAGGGAGCTGGGGGAGGGGGCGGGGCAGTACCTAGCAGCTCTGGCACAGACTTGCTTCGGGTGCCCAGTGTAGGCGGGTGGTCAGGGCACAGAGTGTGGCAGGCAGTGGTGAGGAAGGGACTGGCCAGGCTGGTCGTGAGAGTCACAAGGTGGTCCAGGACACCCCCCTCCTGAGGGGACTGGGCAAAGGGGAAGCTCAAGGTGCCCTGTAGCCGCTCTAGGAGGGATGGAGCAGCCTGGGCCTGGGCCTGGGCCTGGGCCACGAGCCCCGCCAAGGCCGGCCACTCGGGCTGGTAGTGCTGGCTGAGCTGCTCCGCTTGTGGCCGCCGCAGCAGCTGCCGGATCCTCCACACTGTGTCGAAGCTGTCGGTCAGTACTGCCCACTCCAGGGCTGTCTTGCCCCTAACAGGATCCACTGCTGTCAGGTCAGCACCTGGGTGGGGGGCGCGGGGGGATAGGGGTGATGTGGGATGGGATACAGATTGGTGATTTGTGGAAGGGCAGGTTCTTTAGCAGCAAGATCGACTTGGGTTAGATTCAAAACCGTAGAGTCCCATCCTATAGAAGCTGCAATCTTGGAGGCCAGTATTGCAACCTCCTGTTTAAGAGACGTGAGGAGACTCTTTTCCCTCTAGAGGAGACCTACTATGGGTCTCCAACCTGGAGCAGAATAGGGAATGCAAGGAGCAGAGCAGAGAAGCGGTGTGCAGGTGGCCCAGGACAGGTGGTGTCCTGAGCTGCACCCTCTGGGGTGTTCTGCTGCTTCCCTCTCCTGGTTCTCCTCTTCGTCACCACACCCCTCTAATGGGGGGGGACAGTCACTCTGAGACAAAGGAAGGGGTGTGGAGCTCCCCCCTTTCTCCCCAAAAACCCAGTCTGGTGGGGTGGGGCAGGGAAAAGCTGGAGGCTGGGGTCCCCCAGAGTGGCCAGCAGAGGGCAGTCCCACCTTGGGGAATCCTGGGGCTCACAACTCCATGGACAATGTGAACTTCACCCTTGAATACTCCACACAGCCACACACCTCAACAACACTTCACTGTGTCCCCTGGAAGCCTGGCTTGAGCGAAGACATCTGCCCAGTGCCACTCTGCTAGTGGCAGGGCCGGGACTAGAACCCAAGAATCTGGTTCCAGACACCAGCCTTTTTTGTTTTAGGTTTTCCACCTGGGCTAGGTCACCCTCCCGAGCTCTCCTTTCTGGGCCCCCCACCCACAATGGAAAGAGAGCTAGTTTTCCACCTGGGCTAGGTCACCCTCCCGAGCTCTCCTTTCTGGGCCCCCCACCCACAATGGAAAGAGAGCTAGCCATCGCTGGGTTTTGTTGATTGTGGAGAGCCAGGCACGCTCTCCTCCTCCAGGAAGTTGAACTAGGTTGATCCTGTAGCTCCACCTCTCTCCTCTCTGCAACTAGATGATAGCTGACTTACTGTCAGGTGGGGAGGCTTGGGGGAGGGTCTGGAGGCCACACAGCTGCTCCAGGCCTCACCTGCCATGAGGAGGGCAGCCACGCATTCAGAGCGGTCCCGCATGGCAGCCTTCATCAACGCTGTGAGCCCCCGCTGGTCCTGGCGCTCCAGGTCCAGGCCCGCATAGTAGTTGACCAGGAGACTCACCAGAGGCACGTGGCCTGCAGGGCACCGAGAGCAGAGCTTGGCCCCCTAGAAAAGGGGTGAGGAGGCTCCAAACCCACCCTCCACCCAACTTGACAAAGCCTGCACAAGAGAATGTTGTTCAACGAGTGTGGGGCTGTGCAGGGTGGGGGGCTGGTGGAGGGTGGAGCTCAGCAGCCTCGCACCTGCTTGGGCAGCCAGCATGAGTGCTGTGTTCCCATCTTTGTCCTGCTGGTTCACATCCAGGAAAGAACAGCGGCTGAGCAGGGCCACAACATTCCCGAAGCCGTGGTAGCATGCGACCATGAGGCCTGTCTGAAGGCAGGGCAGCTCAGTCCCCTGATTTCCTCCAGGGGCTCCCCAGGCCCCCTGTGCTCTCTAAACCCACATCTGTCCCAGAGGCCTTCCAAACCCCCCTGAAGACCCACCCTCCCCATTCCCTTCCTCCTAAGGACTGGCAGTAGGTCAGGAAACTCTAGCAGGGAGTCAGATCAGGATGGTGTGGTGAGGAGACCGAGCTGCCCCTCGCTGTCCTGGGTAGCACCTGGGGCATCTCACCCTCCCATTGCGGTCTGCCTGGGTGGCCTCCTCTGGGGAGACCCCACCATCCAGTATGGCCTGGAGCTGGGTGGAGTCATTATGGACACAGGCCCAGTACAGGGCCCCCAGCCCGCAGCCTGGGGCAGGGGTCTCATTGCTGGGACAGGACAGCGCCTCAGACATGTCCAGCCTTCCCCTGTGCAATGGCCGCTCTTCCTCTTCCAGTCTGGGGGCAAGAAGACAAGGCCCTCCTCAGGCAGTTGGCGTCTATAACACAGAATGGAGAGGAGCAGTGTCTCCCTGAGTCCTGGGTGGAGGGGGGGGGGTGGAGGTGGTGGTTCCCAGCAGCTGCATGGCCCAACCCTTGCCCCAGGGAAAGCCTTTATCCCAGCAGGTGTCTGGCCCCATCCTTGGGGAGAGAGGACAAGCAGTGGCCAGTAGATCTAAGTGGGCAGGGTAACTCTACTCTAGGTCAGGACCCCAGTGAGATTCACGGAGGTGGGGGGTGGTCGTTTTTCTTGCCCACCGGATCTTACCTGGGGTTTGGAGGGTCTCTGTGAGGCAGTCATCCTGGGGCACAGCCTTGGGCCAACAGCATCTCCCAGACTTCTCCGAGGCAACCTGAGAGGCTTCCTTCCCAGGAAGCAACGCAGGTGACAGATGGTTGGACTTTGAGAAAAAGCTGCTGCAAACACCTCAGGGCTGAGCTGGATCAAACCGGGTTAGGAAGGGATTGGGGGCCTGGAGGGGCGGGTGCTCTTGTCTCAGAGTGGACCAAGACCCGCCCCAAGATCCTGGAGAGTGGGCGGGGCCTGCTCCGGGAAGCCCCTCCCACCTGGGGCGGGCTCTGAAAGACTCCCCGCCCAGGACGAACGCAGGCACCTTAAACCTGTTGAGGATACCAGCTGTGCTCCCAAATGGAGGCTTCCAAGATGGAAGGTTTGTGGGGTCTCAGAACCCAGCTCCGAGAACCTGAAGCTCCCCCCATCCCCTCACGCCCCCCTGCTTTGATGGAGTGGAACTTGGGGAGGAGGTGATGGTAGAAGAGGGTATGAGTGAGTGCAAACAGTGCAGACATCTCACTAAACAGGGTTGGGACTCTCAGAACGACTTGGGGGTGGAGGCCTCCAGGAGTCACCTGGACGGATCAAAACGGTTCTGGGGAAATCAAAACATGAAGAATTGTCAAATTAGGAGTACAGAAATTATGATATATTAAACTTAATAGATTAGTTTTGGTATGGTAAATTAAATATGAAATATTTACATTAAATTGTATTGATTTAATAATTATTAAATTAATATTTAAGTTAATATTAAATATTAAATTCAGTGGCTTGGTTTTGGCCCTCACATGTGGAAAACTGAGCCAATTATATTCCTTCGTTTGTATCACGCTCACCATCAGACTATACAAGACCTCTCATTTTATTTTACTTTATTTAGTTCCTCTCTTTCACCCTTAATCCCCACACCCCGTTCTCCTCTTCCCTTTACTAGTTGGCCCTTATATATTAATATCCTTGAAAATGTGCATTTCATTGAAAAGGTAGCATTGATTTGTGTGTGTGTTTAACTAACATGTTATGAAGTGTGCTACAGAGCTCATTGTTTGTCTTTTTTCACTCAACACTGTGTTTTTAAGATCCACCTTGTTGCTTTATGCAAGTGTATCGGCTAGGTGATACGCACTGGCGATAGATGGGCTGCTCCATATCAGTCCTGAACTCCTTTTAGTATTTCTTCTGAACTGCAGAAACTGGAAAGCTAAAACAACACTTTCCAGATTCCTTTGAACTAGGAATCTGTGGCTTAGGTTCTGCTCTTGCGCAAGATAACAATTTGGAACAGAGCTACATAACATGGGACATCCGTTTTGCTGTCACAGGTCACAACAGCAGCAGTAGGCCTCTAGTGCGCAGCTTCCTGATTCATCATCTTCCCTTAGTAGAGACTGTTGTTTTCCCACTCACGGGCGGAGGTCATATGACTCTCAAAGCTGGGAGTTGTCCCTGGACCTAGAGCCTGCTTCTCCATCCCTTTCTATTTAAACTAACCAGATTTATTTCTGTTGGCTGCAATTGAACTCTGACACACATGGCTTCAACAGGAGTTTATTTTTTCACACATGATAAAAAGTTCAGGGATAGGAAGCTATTGGTGTTGGTTAAGGAATTTGATGATGTCAGGGCCTTCTCTGGGATTCTCTTAACTTTTTTTCAAGATGACTGCTACATCTCTCTCTAGCCATCAAAGTAAAATGCAGTAGATGCACACTATGGAATTCTGTGCACCATTTAGAAGAAATCTACCAGATTATATGTCAGATATCTCTCATTAGCTGACACAAGCCTTATGCATAACCCCCCTTCTCTCTAGTCACCTTTTAGTTAGGTGTGATCATGTAACACAATTTTGGCCAATGAGATGCATACAGAAGTCTGATGGGCAGGGCTCCAGAGAAAAACTTTGCTCTTTTAGTAAAAAATGTGGGGTGCACTATTTTCTTTCTTTCCCCTTCTTCCCACTGCATAGGATTCCATAGTATGCACCTGCTATGTTTTACTATCCATTCTTCCAGTAATAGATGCCTGCGTTGCCTCCAACTTCCTATCACTACAAATAATGCTGTAGTGAATGTCCTTGTACGTATCTTGTTGTTGACCTGTGCACAAGTCTCTGAGATTTCTGGGTCATGGGGCACATGCATGCTTATTGATGGGATACTGTGAGCTTGCTCCCTGTTTTGCAGTGTGCCCACCAGCAGTGCATGAGAGTTTCCTACATCCTTGCCAACACTTGTCATTACTCAGCTATCTAAGTTTTGTCAATCAGATAGTCCAGAAAGATATTGTGATATTGCTATTTCACATTGAATTGTTCTGATTGTCAACAAGGTGTGCATCTCTCCACATGCCCTCTTTCCTCTCCCGTGAATCGCCTGTTCATCACCCTTGCCCAATGTTCCATTGGATTTTCCTGTCTTTTTCTTATTGATTTTTCAGGAATGCCTTTTAATATTCTAGATAATAAACCTGTTATCATATGAGTTTTAGATATGGCAACTGTACTATAAACCTTTCTGTTAGCTCTATCCATGGTTACCTTAATTGGAAAAAATTCTGAATTTTGATATGGTTAAATTCATTAAAATTTCTCCTTATACTTTGTGCTTTGAGGTCTTGTTTAAGAAGAATTTCCTATTCCAAGATCACAAAGATCTTTATTTTTTAAATTAATCTTGCAGCTTTATTTTTACCATTTGGTCATTAGTTTATCTGTAATTCACTTTTATAATATTGAAAAAGGGCTAGGCATGGTGGCTTGCACCTGTAATCCCAGCGCTTTGGGAGGCTAAGGCTGGAGGAACACTTGAGGCCAGGAGTTCAAGATCAGCCTGAGCAAGAATGAGACTCCGTCTCATTTTCTATTTAAAAAATAGAAACATTAGCCGAGCGTGGTGCTGTGTGCCTGTAGTCCCGGCTACTTGGAGGCTGAGGCTGGAGGATCACCTGAGCCTAGCAGTTTGAAGTTGCAGTGAGCTAGGCTGATGCCACGGCACTCTAGCCCAGGTAACAGAATGAGACTCTGTCTCACAAAAAAACAACAAACAACAACAACAAAACAAAACTTACCATGCAAAGATTCTATTGATGTTCAGAAGTACCCAAGTTTGTAAATACCTGTTTTCTGTTATGAAAATGAATAAAACCAAATATTGTTCCCAGTTAAAGGATTAAAGTATGAATTCTGTACTGCATGTTACTGCACAAAATGTTAAGACCTGACACTGGTGTGTCTCTGGGTGTATAATAAAAATAATTGGTTTCTTTATTCCAAATTAGATGACTAACCAATTATGAAAATTTTAATAATTAGATATATTTATTTTTCAAATTATGTTTTTCAATTTTGAATTTAAAGAAGAATCTCTGATATATATTGTTATTTTATCTGCAAATATCATATGAAAATAAAGTAGGAAGAGAGTTCAATTATTTTGATTTTCATTTTTAGTATTTCGTTTTGGTGGTTAGTAAATTAATAGTAAATGGTAAATTACTAAATTTCAATTATTTTGTCTTTTCATTTTTTTGTTCTTTGTCAAAACTTCTTGGTCATTTTTTATACTTTCTGATGACCTGCAGACATTTTCCTGCTTGATTCTTATTTCTTTAAACATATGAAACATGGTTATTTTATATTCTGAATGCGATCATTCCTATGACTGAAGACTTTGCACGTCAGTTTCTGCTGTTTATGATTTCTGCTAGATCTTGCTCATAGTGCTCTTTTTCCGCTTTAGTGTTTAGTGATTTATTTTTACTTATTTATTTATTTTACTGTGAGCTATTTACCTGGAAAATGATGGTGGAAATTTCTCGAGGTTGAGGATGAAGAAACCCCATATTCTTCTTTCAGAGAATATGGGGTTTGGGTTTTTTTTTTCCTGCCAGGCACTTAGAGGTACTACCAGTCCTGAGCCATTTTAACTAAATACCTGACTAGGATAGTTTTGGACCACCCAAGGTAATGTGAACTTGGGCTGTAGATTAGCTCAAGGATCAGTTAGGGAAGGGTTACAGCTCAGGGCAGGGCCTCCCCATGAGTTTGGCACTGAGGCAGCTTCTTTCAAGTCCCCTAGCGGTGAGAGTGGGAAAGATTTATTTCAGGTTCAACCTCCCATTAACTGTGTACCCTTTGGAGTCACAGCTTTTTAGAGAAATCTCCTATAAGACTCCTTACTTTGATTCCATCAAAGATAAAGTCTATGGGCTGGGCGCGGTGGCTCACTCCTGTAATCCTAGCACTTTGTGAGGCCAAGGTAGGAGGATTAAAATAATTTCCATTTATATCTTAATGAGCATTTTTACTTGTTTTACTCAGGAAGACCAGTCTAGAATCCAGCCAGTCATATTATTGGAAATAGAACTTTCTTTAATCCTAATTAATTTTTTAAAAAGCCCAATAGGAAAATGGGCAATTGATTCACAAAAGAAATAAAAATGGCCAATAAATATATGAAAAGATGCTTAACATCACAAGTAGGCAGGAAAAGGCAAATTAAAAGAATAATGAAATATTACTTTTGGCCCACCAGCTTAGCAAAAATTAAACATTAATAATATTAAGTGCTTACATTGTGGGGGAATGTAAATTAGAGAAATATTTTTGGAAAGCATTTTGACAGTATCTGTCAAAATACCAAATGTACATACACATTGACCCAGATAATCTGCTTTTAGAAATCTTTTCCAAAACAGTACTTGGATATGTAAGCAAAGAAATTCTGGATATATGCAAGCATTGTTTGTAATAATAATTAAAAAATTAGAAACAAACGTTCATCAATAGGGAAAGGGCTAGAGAAAGTGTGACATATGAAGATTATGCTTGCATTAAAAGGGAATAAGATAGATTCACACGGACTGCCCTGAAAATATCCCTGAACCACGTTGTTAATAGCTTGAAAAACAAAGCCAAATGTAATATACACATACACACAGGTACAAATATACTGTGTACATATACATACATATACATTATGTGTGTGTACATGTGAGCAAGTGTGAGATTAACTACTTACGCTTCTTTGTAAATGCACAGAAAAGGCTGGAACAGTTCTCAACATTGGTTGTGCAATGTAATCACTTAAGAACTTTTTAGAAATAGTGATACCTGGAACCCACTCCAGAGATTCTGAAGTCGTTGGCCTGGGACATAACCCAGGCAGGAGGATTTTTTAAGTCTTCTCCTGTGGTTCTCACATACAGCCAACGTTGAGAACCATTGGACAGAACGATGCTCATTAAATCATGGTTAACTTAAAGAGGGAGAATAGAAGGCTGGAAGGAGACCTCCATATTTTTGTTTTGTTTTGTTTTGTTTTTTTGGTTTTTGGGTTTTTTTTTTTAGACAGAGTCTCACTCTGTTGCCCAGGCTAGAGTGCCATGGCATCAGCCTAGCTCACAGCAACCTCCAACTCCTGGGCTCAAGTAATCCTTCTGCCTCAGCCTCCCGAGTAGCTGGGACTACAGGCATGCGCCACCATGCCTGTCTAATTTTTTCTACATATTTTTAGTTGGCCAATATTTCTTTCTATTTTTAGTAGAGACAGGGTCTCGCTCTTGCTCAGGCTGGTTTTGAACTCCTGACCTCGAGCAATCCGCCTGCCTCGGCCTCCCAGAGTGCTAAGATTACTGGGGTGAGCTACCACGCCCGGCCTCATATTTTGTAAATGTTTGACTCTTCCACCAAGATAATTACTACTTGGTAACAATTGGAAAAAAAGGAAAAGAATCAGAAGGATTTCTCTGTTTCCTCCTCTTTCTCCCCAATCTCTCCCTCACAATTATCATTCCATGGTGCTATCTCTAATTCATTCATTCAGTAACTATGAATGGAAAAGTATTGTTTCAGGCACACATTTCAGCTCTTGCGCTTTTCACACTAGTTATCATTAATCTTGTTCGTGGCTGTTTTCCTCGCCTTGGTCACCTCTGTGTCTCCTGCATCCAGCGTTGTGTCTGCCACTCAGTAAATGTGCGCCCCTTGCCGGACTCTCCTCTGGCCTGAAGAGCCCTCCAGAACTACGGGAGTGACTGTCAAGGGATAGGGGGACTTGAACCTGTGCAGAAAGGCCCCAAGGACACCTAGCTAGGTGAAAGGGGATTTCACATTTTGCTTTTCAAATTCTCTTTCCCCCAAGCCTAGAGAACCTACTCCAGGTCCATCCCAGACCACACACAGCCTCCACCTGGGTCCTGTTTCTGCAAGGCCACTCACAGCCAGCAGGTGGCAACCATGGGCAGGAATTGAAAGAGCGCGCCCACCCCCGCAGACGAGGCTATAGCGGAAGGTTATGGGGTCAGATGCAGGGACAGGGTCTTGGCAGATGCACAGGAGGAGGGTGGTGGGGTTCCAATTTTGGCCTAAAGGAATGGGAATTATTTCTGCAGTTATTTATGTATATCGGCTTTAGCCAACCTGGCGAGGTACCCAGAAGGTGCGTGAGGTTTCTTTTACCTTCCACCTGCATCAGTGCCCTGTGCTGAGGTGCCCTGTTCAGGCCTCCCTGCTCAGGAGGGCTCCGTGTGGGTCTCTTCCCACCCTGTGCCCAGTTCCCCAGGCTGGGTCTCGCCCCTCCCTGTGGCGTTGCTAATAGAGATGCCTGTGGTCGTGGAGGAGTGGAGGTTGCTGGCTAAGGTGTAAAATACTGGATCACACCTGGGTGATACAGGTACATTTCAGTCAGGACTTCTGAGGTCTCCGTGTGGTAGCATTAAGGATTAAAAGTAGAGGAAATTTACAGGTGATTTTTAGCGGCTGGGTTGGACGGGATTCTCCAGCGTGCTCCTTTGTCTACGGCTCCGACCTCTCCTCAACTTCTCCCCCTTCAGTGTCTGCTGCTGATACTCCTCTTTCTGTCTGTCTTCCCCTTTCTTCAACTTCTGATCTTTCTCATCTCACTGTCTGGCTCTTTCAATCTCTCTAGCCCTGTATCTCTCTGATGCTGTCTCTTAAGCCCTGATAACACGCACTGTCTGGAGCCTGTCATGCTGTATCTTCAGCCATCTAATCCTTCGGGCTGGGCTCTGGCCCAGAGTCTCAACTTGCAGAATTCAATCAGAAGAGAAGGGGGAGGTTTGGGGGAGCACAGTGGCAAATCTACAGAGAAGGAGCTCAGGAAACTTTTGAGTCTGGTTTGTAGCATGGACCCATCACCTTTAGGGAACCGAATGTACCGCCATCTCCTGCTTTCCCTCTCTTCTGGGATCTTTTTCCAGCAGAAGCCCCTCTACCAGCCTCCAGATGTGATGACAGGTATAGCTGGGCCGGCAGTCAGTGGGGAAATGGCCCAACATGCCACTTAGCAGGGTGAGGCAGAGAATGGAGGAGGTAGCCTCTGACCCCAGCTCCTGCCCCTTCTGGGGGTCCAGTGTGACCTGCCATAGGTCATGCCCTTTACCCCCTAGCCATGATCTACATCACAAAGCACACAGTTTGTAACTCAGTGCTGGCTAGGAAGGTCTGGGATTGATTTAGGGCCCTCTCTGATCAGCTCACCCTCCCTGGACTATGGCCCCTGGGGTGGGGGTGGGGATGAGGGTCATGGGTGAAGTTCAGGTAGTGGGGTCTTGACCACCACTACATCATCATACCTGTTGCAGATCCTTCTGTGCTCCTAGCAGATTGGAGGGGCGGTCCAGATACATGAGTTAAAGACTCTCAGTGACTAACCCGTTCTCTCCATCTCAGCTCAGGGCCATCCTGTGGGAGCAGTGTTCATTGTCTAGTGGGTGTTTGGGGACAGGCTCCTCAGGGTTGAGGCTCAAGGCATCTTACAAAGCAAAGAGGGCCTCAGTGCCCACGGAGAGGACAGTCAGTTAAATGCTATGTAAGCCCCTCCACCCATCACCACCAAATTTTGTTACAGTGAGCTGCTCAGAGCCAGTCTCCCAGCCTGGGTTCCACAGTACCCCCCCCCTCCACCTTTCCATTTATGTGTAGCCTGGTACATTTCATGTTGCTACTTTCCATGCATCCATCATTTCCTTCTGGAGAGATCACTGAAGAATATCCTCTACTTTGGGCATTTCAAACTTTTTTGACCATCATCCACAGTAAATACATTTACATCTGGATCCAAGACACATGAACATATAAATAACTAAAAGCAAAGTTTTACCAAACTCTGTGATGCACTGTGATGTTTCTACTCTATTCTATTTTGTTGGAAGAAAAAAAAAAGTTGTTAAAATGATTTTATGGACAACTACTGGGCTGGAATTTATAGTTTATAATAAGTAATCTCTTATTTTTTTATGCCTTTGCAAATTTTAAAGCCCATTTCACAAATACAAAAATCCAATTATTTTCATAAAAGCCAATGAGAAAGGTAAGGCAGGGCTTTTCATTGACCCATTTTACAGATGAGAAAACAGAGACTCAGAGGTTAATGGACCTGCTTGAGATCATCCAGCTGGTGAGTGGCAAGGATGGGCTATCCAGTCAGGTCTTCTATATACCTGTCCAGGGTCCCCTATGCCCTGTAGCTTCTCCATTTCCCTCTCCTCCATTGCCCTCCAATCCAGTTCATTGTCTTTTTTGAGTTTGAAGGCCATCTCCTTCCGTAGGGAAGATGGAGGGACATAGTAGCTGAGTAATTCTGTTTTCCATGTCATCTGTTAACACTGCGCCATCTGTCAATTCCACCCTCAGCCTCACACTCCTACCCAAGAGGCCAGAGTGGGGGAGGAGGCCATTTGCCTGGAGTCTGGACCTCCAGGGCCCCTCCCACCAATGGACTCAGAACACCCACAGAAAGCTCATTTTGCTGCTCAGAACCAATAGCAGTGGGCTAGAATTACAGGGGACAACCTGGGAGCAAGCTGGGACCAAGGATTTTCTCAGGTCAGCAGGATAACACTTGAGTCACCCCTCCCCTCTCAGGGTCTTCATGCTATCTGCTACTGGCCACCCACCACCTGGGCTGCACCTTGGTGAGGCTCCAGAGCTGAGAGGAGGGCAGCTGATTCCAGCGCAGGAGCCCTGCACGCGGCCGAGTGAGGGCACAGTAAGTCCACCTTACAGGGGCCCAGGCAGATTTATGGGGCCTCGGGTGTGGCTGGCTGTTACTCAGCCTCTGACTTTTTAATTTCCCAGGCTCCTGGCCCACCCCGCCCGCTCCCCAGAAGGCCTTTGTGCAGGACAATGAGGAATCTATAAATTCCGGGGGACAGGGATGTGGGGGAAGGGAACACCAGCCACTTCAGCTCCCCCATCCACCCTGGGGCCCTGCATAGATATCAAGGAGTGGCTTCCCAGGGCCTGCTCCATCCCATCCACCCTGGAGCCCCAGGAGAAGGGTGGGCAGAGCCGAAACACTGTCTGGACAGATGAAGAAACTGAGGCACAGAGGCAGAGGATGTCTCTAGTCTCTCTTTCGTTCCCTCTACCTTTCACTCATATATCTATCCTCCTCCTCTTACTTGTCCCCCAGTCATTCCCTCACTCAGGCAGTCACTCAACAAACACTGATGGAGCTCTAGTTCTGTGCCCGGCCAAGTACAGAGGAGGCAATAACTGGTGAGGCCCAGGCCTCCTGCCCTGGGGGACCACACGACAGTGGCCCGTTATTCTAGGGGAGCAAAAGCACAACTTCCAGCCTCAGCTTTCCCAGCTGGTAACCTGCATCCTCTCCCTGGTCCCTGTCATCAGCAAGCCCTCTGCAGCTGATGAAGCACTTTTGAGTTTAAGCCTGAGGATGGCCCTGGGAGTCAAGTATTACACATGCCTCACCCACCATTTTGCTAATGCAGCCTCAAGAGGGTAAATGGTTGTCCCAGATCACCCTCTGGTGGGTTGCAGAGCTGAACCAGACCAGGCCCTTTCCTCTGCACCACCTTGAGTGCTGTGGGGACCCAGAGTATGCATGGGCCTGGCCTGTGGCTAACCTTCCTCTTCTACCCCTTGCCCAAGCTAGCACTGTGCCCGCCTCTGTACTGATCTTCCCTGGTGTAGTCACCTTCCTGCAGTAGTTACTAAGTGGCCCACACTCACCCTTATATTTACCCATATATCTGTTGTATGGTAATAATATTAATAATTAATGGATTCAATGCTCACAATGCATGTGTGTGTTTTGCTGTGTGTCCTGGTGTGAATCTGTGTATACAGGGTATGTCTACTTGTAAACTAAGGATATTAGTGTCTACTTCATAGGGGAGTTGCATGAATTAAGTTAAACCATGTAAAGAACTTAGAATGATGCCTGACACATAGTAAGTGCTCAAAAAGTGCTGAATGCCAAGATTATCATTATAGTAAACCACCAGTCTGCACGTGTGTGCAAGGCATCTGGGTGTTTCCCCAGGTGAACACAGGTGTTTGCAGTTGGCCCCACCCCGAGAGGTGACCAGATAGACTAGCATCCAGTTCTCCAGGAACTCCATCTTCCCTCAGATGTGTGGGATATGTACAGAGCACTTCCTGGGTTTGAACCAAAGACAAGGTCCCGGCACTCATGAAGCTGACACTGTGGTAAGTGAAACAGACCACAAACCAACAGAAAAAGAAAGATAATTACAGAATGTGGTGAGGCCTGTGGAAGAAATATGTAAGATTAAGTGACATACTGGATCAGGCATTTGGGGCCGCTTTAGCATTGTGGTCAGGGATGATGGGAAGGTGACATTCCTGTGAAGGAACAGGACAGCAAAGGGACCAGCAAGGCCATGGCCAGAGGTGAGGGAAAGCTTGTCAAGTTCAAGGAAGAGAAAGGCAGCCAGTGTGAGTGGAGGGCAGAATGACAGGAAGAGAGGCCAGTGGAGGCAGGGGCCAGGGTAAAAATCTGGGGCTTTCTTTCCAGGGAAGCCATGGGTGTTGGTTAAGCAGGGAGTGACATGCCAGGTTTTTTTCTGATTTGTATTTTTAAATGTCTGCCTGGCTGCTGTGTGACTTGATTGTTGGGGAGCCTGGGAGAGCAGACAGGAGCTTTGCAATTGTGCAAGGCAGTCATAGGGGCTTGGACAACTGGGGCCAGGGGCTAATTTAAGATCTATCTTAGAGACAGAGGGACAAGATTCAGGGTGAGGGTGGGAAAGGAATTCAGGAAGGGGGAAAGGATTTCAGGAAGGGGAAAGGACCAAGGAGCCAAATTGGTTGTTTCCACCCTGTGCCAGAAGAGTCCCCCTGCCCTCTTTGGTCCTGCCTCTGACCTGCAAGGGCCAGCCCTCGCCATTTGCTCTCTGCTGCCTCTCTACTATCAGCAGCCCCCAATCAAGGGCAGTCCAGGCTGGCTCATTCAGGCTCTTGGTGAGAAAATGTGCCCCCTGCCCTTCTTCAGAACGAGTCAGCACCTGCCAATGGAACCCCATTAACCCACAGCCACGCCCCACCTCCTTGTTTAGGTCACAATCTGTACAACCGCACAGCTCCCCTCTCCCCAGTCTGGGTCACCCTCTCAACCTGAAAATCTTTGAAGCTTTGAGAACCTGCAGGCCCGGGACTTGTTGGGGCTCTGGCCTTAAAACAACTTTGGGGGCAGGGGACAGAAGCAGGGGATTGGCCTTTCCAAAGGGGCGCCTGTCCCGGGGTAAGGAAGTGCGTCCACCTGGCACACACACCCCTTCCCCGAGAAGCTAGGACGCCCGCGCACAGGCGGCCAGAGCCACCACTCCCGGACCGCTGCCCCCGCCGGCCTTTGGGCCGAGGAGGCCGCCGCCCCTCCCTCCCGAGCGGGCTAACGAGCCGATCTTCCGGCCCCGGGCTACGGCGGGGGAGGGTCCGAGCCGTAATTGCTGCCATCTGCTCCTCCTCCCGCCCTCTTCCTCCCGCAGCCTGGGGGAGGGTCCGAGGCTCGCGCTGGCCGCAGCCCCACCTCGCCGAGCGCCCCCTCTTACGCGCACCCCGAGCCACCGAGGGGGCGGGAGCTCCAGGGTGGCCCGCGAAGCGTCCGCGGGCAGCGCAGGTGACCCGAGAGCACCTCGCCAGCCTCTCCTTGGTGGGGGGCGGGCCCCACTGCGAGTCACAGGGCGCTACAAGACACAGAGCCCCGGCGCTGGGATTCCGCTCCTAGTGGAGGCAGGACTGGGGCAGGATCCGGGCTGTCCCTCGGCACTCGCAGCGCTGACGTACGCGCCTGCCCCTGGTTGGCGCTTGCGGCGGCATGTGGACGCTTGGGGGGGGGGGCGCGACGCCAAAGCCCAGCCAGGGCTGGTGGGGAGGAGCAGAACTTGGCTCTTCAGATAGGGCTGGAATCCCCGCCGGCTAGGGGACCTTGGGCACTGCTCAGAGCCCTAGTCCTCATCTGTAAAATGAGGACCCGGTGCCTGCTTCTTGGGTGTGTGCCTGAGGATTGGATTCCACAGAGTCTGAGAAGCCAACACCTGTGGGGGGTGGGGTGGGGGGGCAATTTGTAGGGCGATCTGGGGCGTCAGGCCCACCTTAGGCTTGGGAAGTCCCTGGGGCTGGGACATTGGTGACAGGGTTGAGCTGGCACTCTGGAAGGTGCTGTGACAGAGCTGGGGACCCATAGGAGGTGAAGACTCTGCCGTGGAAGAGGGAGTAGGGGCTACGAACAGGAGGCTGGTGCCAAGACCATCTCCTGGAGGTCTCTGCAACCCTGGTGACTCTGTGTCTTGCAGCACTGTGTGACTGTAGAGGTGAAGATCTCTGATGATCTGGGGTGCTCAAGGAATGTTTGTGGATCACCCCCCAGAGCCATCGGGGTTTCAAACAATCTGCCTCATTTTTCTCATAAGAACACTTTTGCCCAGCACCCTGAGTCCTGATGTTTTGCTCTTTTTATTATTTCTTTTCTTTTCTTAGAGATGATGTCTTAATATGTTGCCCAGGCTGGTCTCAAACTCGTGGAGTCAAACAATCCTCCTACCTCAGCCTCCCAAGTAGCTGGAGCTACAGGTGTGCACCACCCCTGCCTTGCTCCTTTTTTTTCTTCTGAAATTCTGTTCACTGTAATACAGGGCAGAGCAGAGCACCCCACTGCCCTGCTACAGGAAGCCACTCACCCAGATCCCCTGGTGACACAGATGTTTGTCCTGTCTAGGACCTAGAACCTCACCTTGTGGCACAGAATGCCTGCTGCCTCCACCTCCTGCAGCCTTGCTGACTCCAACAAACCTGTTTGTCACAGAGGTTAGCTCTAAGCTACATCCCTCCCACAGCCATCACTGCCATCAGCCTGCTGGCCTGATCCTTCAGCACAGGTGAGCCTTGGGGTGCCAAGCAGGCCTCCTCGCAACCCTGGAGGGGCTGTCACTGAGGGTGGGGTACAGTGTGAGACATTTTGGAATCCTAGGGACCACTGGACAACCAGAGGGCAATTGCCTTCTGCAGGGGTCAGGTGGATGCCCCTGACTCAGTGGCTTCTGGGCTGAGGTTAGAAGGAGGAATAGAAATTTGCCAGGGGCGGAAGAGGAGAGGTGGTGCTCCGGCAGAAGGAACAGTCTGTGCAAAGACTTGGAACTGTGAAAGTCTAGTTGCACCTCTTTTTTTTTTTTTTTTTTTTTTTTGAGACAGAATCTCGCTTTGTTGCCTGGGTTAGAGTGAGTGCCGTGGCATCAGCCTAGCTCACAGCAACCTCAAACTCCTGGGCTCAAGCAATCCTCCTGCCTCAGCCTCCTGAGTAGCTGGGACTACAGGCATGCGCCACCATGCCTGTTTTTTCTATATATATTAGTTTTTTCTATATATATTAGTTGGCCAATTAATTTCTTTCTATTTTTATAGTAGAGACAGGGTCTCGCTCTTGCTCAGGCTGGTTTTGAACTCCTCAAGCAAGCCGCCAGCCTCGGCCTCCCAAAGAGCTAGGATTACAGGCGTGAGCCACCGCACCTGGCCTTAACCGCAACTCTGGAAGAGTAACAAGTTTGATGTGCCTGGAGCAAGAGTGTTGGAGGGAAGGAGACACTGGGATAAGATGGGGACAGGTATGTGAAGGGAGTCTGAAGTGACACATGTACCAGACCAAGGAATTTTGACTTGGCCTGGAACTTTGACTTGAGTTTGTTGTAGCAAATTGAAGGGTCTGCACAGGAAGGGGCAAACAGGAACATTAATGGCCAAAGGGGTGGAGCTGACAGGAAATAAAATTAAAAAGCCAGTGCCAGTGTGGTGATAAAAAGGCTATTCACTCACCTGAGTCTCAGACCTGGGAGACAATAGGGCCTGGTGGGGACCATGGTGCACAGGTTGTCTCAATGCAGGAATAAAAGCCTCATGTTGTCAGATATTTTCAAGAAAAATTAGAAATGTAGATTTTTGTGTTGTCTCCTGGCTTTTAAATGTTGACAACTATTTTTAAAAATTTTTAAATTCTATGAGTGCCCAAAATACACAACACAAACATAACTGGGGACCAGATTTGGCCCATTGGCTGCAGAGTTGCTGGAAAGCCACTGGAAGTTTTGCAAGGAGGGAGATGATCTAACAAGCCTGAGTTTCAGGATGCCTGCTCAGGGGCAATGTGGAGGAATGGCCTGGTAGCAGAAGGTCAGTGGGGGCAGTTGCAATCGTCCATGCCAGAAGGGCTGAGGCCTGAACAAAAGCAGCTGACCTGGAGAGGAGGGAAGACTTCCCCTACAGTGTAGGGGTCTTCAGGGATTAGCCTACCCTAGGGATTTAAGGTTTTAAGTCTCCTATCCTTTTATCCCCTTTAAGGGTTTGCAAAAGAAAAAAAAATCAAGTCATGGGTGAAGAGGCCTAATTAAAATGGAATGGCACTGAAAATCCCCAAGGCTGGGTGCTGGCAGACCACCCTATGGGGCTGGGTAAGACATTCCAAAAAGCCTGTAGAGGGAGGGGCCCTGCTGGGGGAGGGGCTCAGGAATCTGGCCTGGCCTTCAGGAAGACCCCAGCCAGCTCTAATGGGAACCACACATGGGGTGAGCTTGGAATCCCAGATTGCCTATGACGTGGATTTGGAATTGGACACTAGGCTGGGGTCACTTCTGACCCGCCTAAGTCTGAGGCCTCCCAGTCCTAGCTCCCTTCCTAATCGCTGCCAGACGCATTCTGCCCTGCACCCAGCCCTGAGGCCTGCCCAGATCCTGGAAAGGGGTTGCTTTTTGAGCCCCATTTTCTGCTGCTAGGAGAGCATGTAAGCCCTGGGGGTGTAGGGTGTTCAGAGAATTCAAGGCTTCCTGCTGGGTCAAGGGTTGATGCCATCAGAGATAGCAGACCAAGAAGTTCCTTCCAATGTCCCCCAAAACAGTGTGCCCTGAACTTACACCCCTGCTGGAGCCCTGAGCTGCTTCTGGCCTTGTAGAGACTGGTGCCCTCAGCCTCCATCCCTTGCCTGCAGCATCTGTAGGGCACTCTGTGGCTCTGTCAGTCTTAGCCTGTCCCCATGCCCCACAGGGTTAATTTCTTGCACCATCCTCAGGCATCAAGAGCAGGGACAGTCCAATGGGCAGGGGAAGAGCCCTTCCAGCAGGTGATTTGCTCCCAAGGATCCCAAACAAGGAGGGAAGTGAGTCTCTTCTAGCATACTTCCTGATACTTTTTCCTCCCCCTAACCCAAACACCTTCTGGCCTAAGAACTGGAGCAGTGTGGAAAGATGTTTCAATGTACTGTAGGCCAGGACCTAGAATAACCCTCAGCCCTTGTTTGAGTGGCTCACTCAGTCTTAGGGCCATGGCTGTCATCACATCTGCTAAACCCTCTTCATAGCCCCCTGACTGTGGTGTGTATTTGGAGGAGAAGGGGTGCACTTTCTGCTTAAGTCCCTGACACTCCCAAAGACACCCCTCCATGCCCTGGTGCCCAGCCCCCTCCCCCTTGGTACCTTCCTTGAGAACTTCCAGGCAGCCTGCTCAGCATCAGGCCAGGGGCCCAGGAGCTGGGACAGGCTGCATTCCTGGGGGAAGGGAAGAGGAGAGGAGGACTGTAAGGAGCCCCCTCCCTTCCAGCACAGACCCCCTGCGGCCCAGGCTGACGCTCTCTAGTCATGCTGAAGATGGCCAGTGTAGCTCCAACGGAGCCCCCTGGCAAAGGCAGCAGGGCCAGGGCAATAAGGGCCCCTCCTGGCCTCTGCGGAGGATTAAGCCTTCTATATCCTGGAGCTATTCCACTCCTGCTGAGACCTAAGGTTCTTGCATTGATAGGAGCTCACAGTGGGCAGTGCGTGTCTGTGAGGTGAAGTGACCAGACTGGGAGGAGACACAGGGGAGGGGACTAGGGCACCCCCTTGGCATGACTTAACACAACATTCCTTCTGCAGGGCAGCACAATCTCCCAAGTCTCTAGAGAGGGCTCAGGGACTTCCAGAGAGAATCAGGCCAGCAGGACGGAAACAGGCAGCAGTTGTAGGAGAGTGCTGGGGAAGAGGGTGCCTCCTCGGGACTGGGGATTCGGGTCGTCTCTCTAACCCCACCCATCCCCATCCCCCAGCCCGGTTTCGGGAAGCTCTCCCAATGAATATTTAATAGCTCAGCGCTAGGCCTGATTGAATTTTAATGCAGGCGACCCGAGTCCGGAGCCCAAGTCCAGGCAATTAGTCAGGAGCCATTAACGCTGACGGCGCTGATTTATGGGCGGGCCCAGTCCGGCTGCCAGGGCAGCCCTGGCTGTCGGGCGGCCCGCGATTGGGCGGACAGGATCTCCCGCATGAACCAATCCGTCCGGCTGCCTCGGCCTGCTTTGCATCTCATTTGCATGGCACTCCCAGTGGGCAAACCTGGGCGGTGGCCTGTGAGGGGGCCCCGGGGCAGGTTGGGGGAATGGCCGGGAGCGCCTCCAGGGGCCTGGCCAGGATTTATGGCTACGCCAGGAAAACTTCTCTCCGTTTTGCACGTGTAATTCTATTAGACAATCCCCCTGTTCGAGGAGCCTCCCCCCATACCCTAGTTCATTTCTGAGGGAAAATTCCAGAGGAAAAAGGAGGGAGCAGACACTAGGGCCAACGTGGAAACTGGGCACAGCTGCTGCGACTCAGGACCTAACAAGGGCTCTGCAGTTAATGGACAGGAGGCTTATTGGGCCCTTACTGTGTGCCCGGCACTGCACTTAGTAGGCCTCCCACCTTCCTGCTCACTTCTCCTCCTCCTCCCGCTCCTCCCTCCCCATCCCTCACCCCCTCGCCCCTCAGGGGGAGGTTCTGCACTCACGCGCAGGGGGTTGGGTTTTCCGGGTGCTGGATTATGCCCCAGAGGGGTAATGAAGTCACGGGGCTCTTGGCGAGATGGCCTCCTCCCCTCCCCTGCCTGCCCCTCATCCCCCTGACCTGTGTGCACGAGCTGGGACTCAGCCTGGAGTGCTCTATTGAACTATGCCGACCCCTTAAATCATAGGTCAAGGATTTAGCCGGCCTGTCTGCTGCCACTCTGGCAGGTGGCCTCCTCCTCACCAGCTCCACCCCTTTCCAAGCCATTATGCACTGCGGACGTGGTGGCAGGTGGCATCTGTCCCTCACCAGGCCAGCTTCCCCAAGGGTCCAGGCCTCATCTGAGCTGGCATGGAGAGAGCCCGTGGTCCTTACTGGGGGCATGAGCAATGGAGCGGGGTGGATAGAGCTCTGGGCTGGGAGGCCAGTTTCTACAGGGCAGCAATGGAGAGGTTGGGGGGGATGGGGAGACATTAGTCAAGGAAGGCTTCCTGGAAGAGGCAAGGCAGATACTGGAAGGAAGGGAGGGGGCGGGTGTGTCAAAGAAAAATAAAAGGAGAGGAAATCCTCTGCAGGGGAACATCCTGTTTGAGGCAAGAGAGGGTAAAGTGAAAGCTCACAGAGCTCCATGCTTGCCAGCCAGCTGTGGCTAGTACTCTAGCACAGTAGCTGAGCATGACGCTGCCTGGAGGCAGATGCAGCAGGGTGTGAAGGGATGATGAAAATTATTATCACGATTTAATGAGCACCTACTATGTGCCAGGCACTATGCTAAGCACTTTAAATATATTATTTCATCTACTGAATTAAGTATTCTTAGAATTCCCATCTTACAGATGAGGATACTGCAGCTCCAAGAGAGGTGGTAGCTTGACTGAGATCACGTAGCCAGTGGTGGCAGAGCACTTGCTTTTGTCCACTACTCCATGCTGTTCACAGGTAACTCAAACTCAGCTTGCACTCCTCTTTTTACCCCCAAAACCTGTTCTTCCTCTGTCTCTTATCTCCTTCTACTAGTATCTACCTGGTGATAAAAACAGATACTGCACATAATCTTTGCCAAAAGCCTGAGAAGTGATCCCATCTACATTGTCATTCATGCCTGAGTCCTTGGTGTCATCAATCATTTACAATCCCACATCTGCTTCCTAAAGGTTCCTAAATTCTGTTCCCTCCTCTCCCTCTGCCTCTGCTTGGTTTATGCCCAGGTCATCCTCACCAGGGCCAGGTGAGGTAAAATGGTGCCTTACTGAGCCCTCACTATGTGCCAGGCACTGTGCTAGGAGCTTCCCTGCGTTTGCCCTTCGCTAACCCTCACCAGAAGCCTAAGAGTAGGTCCTTTGATTACTAGTGTCTCCATTTCACAGGTGGAGTGGGTAAAGGTCAGAAAGCCACAGCTGAACTGGCATGATGGTGGAGCAGGCAGAAAACCACAACAGATCAAGCAGAACCTCTGCATCTCTAGCCCTTCTCAGCTGTTTCTCGAAACCCAGTTTCCTAGGCTGGGTCTGTGCCCCCATCCCTGGGTGCCTCTTCTCCTTTTTGACATAAAGGATTGTATTTCTCTGGGTGTTTGGGCTTTGAGTTATGAAAGACCCACCTTAAAAATGGTTTATACAGTGTTCATTATGTCACAAAACAAGAATTCCTGAGGTGAAGCTGTTGGTTAATTAGCCCAACAATGTTACCAAAGACCTAGGTTCTTTCCTTCCTTGTTTCTTGCCAATTTTCTTTCTCTCTTTTTCTTTCATCAGTTTTATTGAAATATAATTTATAAGCCTGAGCAACATAGCGAGGTCTCATCTCTGCAAGAAATAGAAAAATTAGCCAGGCATGATGTTGCACGCCTGTAGTCCCAGCTACTCGGGAGGCTGAGACAGGAGGGTTGCTGGAGCCCAGGAGTTTGGAGCTACAGTGAGCTATAATGATGCCACTGTACTCTAGCTCTGGCCATAGAACAAGACCCTGTCTTGGAAAAAAAAAAAGGAGTATAATTTATATGCAATAGAATGTATTAATATTGTATTATACAATATGAATGTATTAATATTAATGTATTATAGAATGTATCATATACCTGGTAGCCACCATTCCCATCAAGATATAGAACACTGACATCATGTCGGCAAGTTCATGTCCATAGGCAGTCAGCCCTTCCCTCACCCCCCGCTACAGGTAAACACTGATATGATTTCTATCTCTATAGACCAGTTTTGGACGTTCTAGATCTTCTTAGGAATGCGTGCATATTTTATGTACTCTTCTGCGTCTGCTTTTTTGCTTTAGATAATGTTTTTGAGATTCACCCATTTTGTTGTATATATCAATAGTTCATTTTTATTGCTAAATACAATTGCATTCTATAAATATCCTACCATGTTTCTTTCTCTTTTCTCTGCCATCTTCATGATGTTGGTTTTTATCCTTATACCCTGACCTCTCAAAGTCACAAGGTAGGCTGAAGCTTCAGATATCACATGCAGACCACAACAGAGGCCAGGAAAAGATGTTTCTCCTTCAGCCCATGTGAAATCTTTCCAGAAGTCTCCGGTAAAAAAAAATTCCCCTTATGTCTCATAGGCCAAAATTACGTCACATGTCCATTCTTAAACACTAGCAAAGGGGCTGGAATTCCCAGGGATGCCTCAGACTAATTAAGATTCAACCCCTGGAGCTGAGGAGGGGGCTCAGCCTCCCCTGAAGAACTTGGCAGACTGGTTCTCGAGCTAAATCAAGGTTGTGTTAGCAGGAAAGAAGGCCAGTGGTTGTTGGTAAATAACCAACAGTGACTGTTCCAACTGCTTCTTCCTCATTAATAGGATTCAGATTTGGTATAAGAATCCATCCCTTGAGGAATATAACCTGTGTCCAACCCAGCAGTAAATTGTGATGCATCTAGATCAATCCTAGTAATCTGTCCCTCTAACTAGGGATTGGATTAAGTGTGAAGACAGTGGAAGACACGGCTTGTGGCCGCCTAATATTAATTCTCCTCTCTTCTTCCTTAGTGAAAGAATCAAATTTTATTTAGGGTTACACTCTGCCTAACTAAACTAAAAAAAATGTTTCTATGGTTTCTTGCAGCTAGGTATGGCCATGTAACCAAGTTATGCCCAATAAGATGTAAACAGAAACGTTCTGTGGGACGTCTGAGACGGCTGTTTAAGGAAGCTACTCTGCTGAGGAACAACTGTTTGCCCTTCTGCGTTTGCTCCTTTTGATCTATATCATGGATCTGACGGCTGGAACTCCAGCAGCCATTTTGGAATGTGAGGTGAATCTGAGAATGAAATCACATGAGCCAGGTATGCTGACTCACACCTGTTATCCCAGCAACTTGGGAGGCTGAAGCCAGAGGATTGCTTGAGGCCAGGAGTTCAAGACCAGCCTGGGCAACACAGTGAGACCCTGTCTCTAAAAAAATAAGAAAAATTAGCCAGGTGTGGTGGCACACATCTGTAGTCCCAGTTACTCCAGAGGCTGAGACAAGAGGTTCACTTGACACCGGGAGTTCGAGGCTGCAGTGAGCTCTGATCTCGCCACTTCACTCCAGCTTGGGCAGCACAATGAGAGCCTGTCTATCTATCTATCTGTCTATCTATCTATCAATAAACAAATAAATAAATAATAAATGCCTCTTGAGAGGAATTATTGAGCCCACATGGGATGCTTACAAGTGCACCAGCTGGGCCGGGCGTGGTGGCTCACGCCTGTAATCCTAGCACTCTGTGACGCCGAGGCGGGGCGGATTACTCGAGGTCAGGAGTTCAAAACCAGCCTGAGTGAGACCCCGTCTCTACTAAAAATAGAAAATTAGCTGGGCATGGTGGCGCATGCCTGTAGTCCCAGCTACTCGGGTGGCTGAGGCAGTAGGATCGCTTGAGCCCAGGAGATTGAGGTTGCTGTGAGCTAGGCTGATGCCACAGCACTCACTCTAACCTGGGCAACAAAGTGAGACTCTGTCTCAAAAAAAAAAAAAAAAAAGTGCACCAGCTGTTTTGTGACCTTGAAGGAAACCATCCCAGGACACAGCAGATATGCTGAGGGTGTTAGAGTACAAATAGGAAGGAACCTGGATCCTTGATGATAGTATAGAGCCTCTGAATTAATCAACCCCCAGCCACCATTCCTCAAGACTTCTTATGTAACATGCTGTATTTCATCGATTCTAAAATGCATATTTGGTCATATTTTAACATTTCTGAAATCAGGATACATCTTATAATCAATGGCATCTTAATGTCTTTCAACCAGATGGCAGCTTTGATTTAGCTGTCCTGCATGTACGAACTTGGTGGTTTTGCTGGTGTCATGGCAGGACAACTCTAACCCCATAATGTTTTGATCCACAAACCATGCAAAGACTTTTTGAGTCCTGGCTGCTAGCTAGAAGCTTTTGATTGTCTGGCAAGGTTGAGAAGAAAGCCTGGAGATTATAGTGGATGTAGTAGGCAGCTTGCAAAATGGCGCCCAATGGCTCTAACATCCCACCATCCACACACGTGTGCAGCCCCTTCCCACATTGTTCTGGGGTTGGTCTGTGTGACCAGTACCATACAGCAGATATCATGTATGTCACTTCTGATATTGGGTTTTTAAAAGACTGTGGTTTGTGTCTGGAATGCTAATTTGTGCTTTCTCTGGGATCATTTGCTATAGGGGAGGCCAGCTGCCCCATCTTGAAGACAGTGAGGAGGTCTACAGAGGTGCCCAGATTGTGAGGCCCTGAGGTGTCTAACCAAGAGCCAGCTAGGAGCTGAGGTCTGCCAACAGCTATGAAAATGAACTTGGAAGTGGTCTGTCCAGCCCATGAGCCTGAGCCACCCAGTTAAGCCACTCCCAGATTCCTGACCCATGGAAAGTATAAGATAAATGTTAGTTGCTGAAAACTACCTAGATTTGGGGTAATTATTTATGCAGCAATAGATAATTAATTCAGGAGAGCACTCTTTTTTTTTTTTTTTTTTTTGAGACAGAGTCTCACTTTTGTTGTCCAGGCTAGAGTGAGTGCCGTGGCGTCAGCCTAGTTCACAGCAACCTCAAACTCCTGGGCTCAAGCGATCCTCCTGCCTCAGCCTCCCAAGTAGCTGGGACTACAGGCATGGCCACCATGCCCGGCTAATTTTTTCTATATATACATCAATTAATTTCTTTTATTTATATAAGATGGTCTCGCTCTTGCTCAGGCTGGTTTTGACCTCTGACTTGACAATCCCCTCCCCAACTTAATACAGCGTGAGCCATAGCGCCCGGCAAGAGAGCACTCTTTTAAGAAATGTTCTGTATCACCAGTACTCGTGATGGCCCAGATGGTAATGATTCTGTGCGGAAAAGCAGACACTGACAGCTAGGAGTTGAAAAGTAATTCCAAGCATCAGACTGACTGGGATAACGTTTTAAGAAAACCTTAACCAATTTATTTCACCCATGTTTTCCTTGTTATGCATGTACAAGAGTAGCTTATGTTAAAAATGTATTGCCACTTTGGGAGGCCAAGGTGGGAGGATTGCTTGAGGTCAGGAGTTTGAGACTGGCCTGAGCAAGAGCAAGACCCCATTTCTACAAAAAATAGGAAAATTAGCCAGTCATGGTGGCGCATGCCTGTAGTCTCAGCTACTCCGGAGGCTGAGGTGGGAGAATGCTTGAGCCCAGGAGTTTGAGGTTGCTGTGAGCTAGGATGATGCCACGGCACTGTAGCATGGGCGAAAGAGCCAGATCCTGTCTGTCCCCCACCCCCCAAAAAAGTATTGCCATATAAGTCTAAAAGAGCTTTTTCAATAAGTATAAAATGAACATCCTAAGTGATAAGAAATCATTGTCAGTTTAATTGGCAATGTTTTATTTCTTTCTAATGACACATAAAGCAGCAGTGCTTCTTAATATTAATAGCATCTAAATTGGACCAAATATAATCATGTATTTTCCTTATTGTGCAAGCCATTTTGAGGGGTGTTCTCTGGCACTTGCAGGAGAGGATCTTAATTCAGGGCATGTAGGAATAGCGTTGAGGAGAAGGAGGTGAGTGAGGAGACAGAGAGAAAAGTGCATGAGAAAGAGTCAGCAAGGGGGTTGTCGAAATATTTGTAGGAGTAGATTTGGGAATTGTTCACTGTTTAAGTGTATTCAACCTGATCCTCCCATGGGTTAAGAGCTTGGAATCTTATGTCACCCATGGTGCCTAACAATTGCTGGCTGTATTGGAAATGCCGGTATTTCCCAAACAAAAATAAGGACATGTGACCTAACACAAGGGTTTTCCTATATTTTAAATTTTTGTTATATATATTTTAAATTTTATTTGCCCCCAAAAGCCTGTACATTTTCAGATTAGGGCTAATAAAAAGGGGATATGGAAACATGCAGGAGGACGGATGCTTCCTCAGGGGTATCAGGTGCTACTCTTAGCTCCCAAGGGTGTGGCCAATTGCTGGGCAAATGTCCAGGAGCCCAAATCTGACCTGGGCACGAGAGGGGACTGGGGTTGGGGATCCAGTTAGTGTTTTGAGTGGAGTTAAGTATGGATCAGGATTCATAGACTTCCACGTGTCAGCCACTGGTCTCCTGGGCGTCTTCCCATGGGGAGGGAGTGCCTATCTATCAACAAACACACTTTACAGAGGGGGAAGCTGGGGCCCAGGGGGTTAAGTTCACAGGGTAAAGGGCAGATGGAGATTTGAAACTGGGCAATCTGGCTCACAAGGCTGTGCATGTCTTAGTCACTATATTTCCGCATTTGAGATCTGTGGGGATTTTGCAACCACCGAATCCCAGCCCCTGATTTTACAGTTGAGGAAGCAGGGACTGCGGAGGGAGCAGGACTTGCCCAAGGTCCACAGGGACAGGGCGGCTGGGCGGGACTGGCGGCCGCTGGGGATTAGCTTTGGTAAGTGGGGTGGGGCTGCAGGCCTGGACCGCAGCTGCCCTCCCCACCCCGCCCCGGCGCAGAGTGCCCCTACTTTCCATTTTGGGAAAGGGCACAACTTGATGGGGGATGGGAGGTAGAGGGGAGTGGGTTCGGGAAGCCACTCGCCTCCTTCATTCTCGGGATTCCCGAGGCGGCCATTGTCCTGGAGGAATGTTCGGCCAGCAGCACGGAGGGCGGGGCCTCTTCCTGTGCCCAGACAAGCCTGCTTTGTGCTCTCCACCCAGGGCCCCTCCTGGCCTTACCAGCTTAGGCCTTCCAGAGCGAGTCTCTAAGAGATGAAGCCACTCGGAGAGGCTTGGGCCATGGGAGATGTACTCCACCCCAGAAGGTCAGTCTGGGAGGACTGCCTGGAGGAGGTGTGAGAGCACCGCCCAGAGGCCTGGGCCAGCAGCTCCTCAAAGCTAAAAATGGGCACTCCTAGCCTCTGCTTACTAGCACTTTATCCCAAGGCAATAATTAGGCGCATACACAAAGATGGATTTTGCAGGTTTGTTCATTAAGCTTTTGTTTCTGGAAACATGTTAAATAATTCTTGCACATCCACATGGTGGAATATTAAGTTGTCATTAACAATTCTGTGGTGTAAATCTATTCTAGATAGGAAAAGATGTTCAAAATATTTATCTATTGAACAAAGCAGATTACAAACAGTGTGAAGTTCTCCTCCCCCCATATATATAATATGTAGACTAATACCTAATGACTCCCAAATGTTGCCAGTGGTTATCTCTAGATGGTGGGATTGAAGTTGTTTGATTTTTAAATTTTTTGTTTTGTGCTTATCTATATTTGCTAACTTCTGTAAAAAGGTATTTCACTTGTGTAACAAAAGTGTGTGTGTGGACCCGAACCGCACACTGCTCTGAGCTGGGCGTTCTTCACTCTGCCAGAAGTTTCTCCAAACATGGCTCCTGCCCCGGGCGGCTAGGCCGAGACAGCTGTTGAGGCATCCGGAAAATGAGCATCACACAGGCAGCCTCTGAGCTTAAAGATTATAGCAACAACTCACTTTACAAGGCGCCTGCACACACATTATCTTATTTGAGTCCTACCACGGATCTGTGAGGTCGCACCACCACCGTTTTCAGGCGAGGAGACAAGTTCCTGGAGGTTGAGTGCCTCCCCCCGCCCCAGGGACAGTGCAGAAAAGTGATGGAGCTGGGATTCAGCTCAAGGTCTCTGACCTTGGACCAGTGCACCCCGCTGCCTCTCCCTCTCATGTCTGTCACAAACAACATCTAGCATTTGCTCATCCACTTGTCCCTCTCCCCCACTGACCCTGAGTCTCTTTAGGAAGCACTGGGGTCTTATTCCAGTCCAGTAGACTTAGGGATCAGGACACGCTATTGAATGAAAGAAGGAATGAACATTTGAACCTGGAGCCCTGGCAGAGCTGGTCATGGCAGATCCACAAACTTGTTCTTTGTAGCCTGATGGCTTTTTTTTTTTTTTTTAATACCCTCTGTCATCCTGGGCTTAAGCAGTCCTCCCACCTCAACCTCCCAAGTACCAGGATTAAGAGTGTGTGTTACCACACCTAGCTAATTTTTTAATTTTTCTGTAGAGACAGGGTCTAGCTATGTTGCCCAGGCTGGTCTGAAACTCCTGGCTTCAAGCAATCCTCCCATCTGAGTCTCCCGAAGTACTGGGATTACAGGAGTGAACCACAGCGCCCAGCCTGTATCCTGCGTATTTTTTATACTTGCTATCTTTTCTGCATTTATTTCTCTTTTGTTCTTTAATATTTTGCAAAGCTTTTTGGAAAATGGCTGATAGCAAGAGTTGCCACAGGAATAGTTCTGACTGGATCTGAACCAAAATGTCAAAGGGGCCAGAATTTGTTCCTTGCCTACTGCATATACCAGTAATTGGAGGCAGCCACCCTTGTGGTCAAGGGAGCAGACAGAAGGCCCTTGGTCAGCTCCCTTCCCTACCTGAAGGGAGGGTTTCTATCTAGGACCAATGCTTGGGAAGGCTGGGATTCCACACACCGAGCCTTGCTGAGCATACGCCCTCCCTTCCACAGCCTCACAGACCCCAGACCCAAAGAAGTGGAGGTTCAGGGGGGAGCTGTGGATACAGAGGCTGGGCCAGTGTGGTGGGACAGCACCCTGGTGGGGAGACCTGGAAGGTTGGTCCAGGAAGGGGAGGAGGCTAGGGCCAAGGGGAGAGGAGTGGGGGAACCTGCCCTGGTAGTCCGGTCTTGGATGATTTAAGTACAACCAGATGTGCTGGGAATCTCCATCAGTCCCAGCCCCAGTGAGGGCAGAGTGGGGGTGGGGAGATCTCTGGGCAACTTGGATTTCCAATTCCCCATTCTGTCCTGGGTCTGTAAGTTTTAGGAAGGGGGTTCCATATGGGCTAGCATGTTAAAGGGTAGGTCTGTAGCATAAGGGAGAGTCTTCTGAGTTTGGACAGGGTGGAATGGGCTCTAGGAAGCAGAGTTCTGGGCTCACTCCAGGAACCTAGGAAAAAAAGGATTTGAAGAGCTCTCGGGTGGAGCTACTAGCTCAGTTTGGGGTGAGGGACAGATAGGGAAGGCTTTACTGAGGAGGGCACACCTGAGTTGGGTTCTGAAGAATGAATAGGAGCTTACCAGGCAACACGGGGAAATAAGATTACAGGTAGAGAAACGTTGAGGTATTAAAATGGTGTGGGTGTTTAGCGAGAGGTTCTGTGGGACTATAAGGTACATGGTTGGATCAGTTTGGGGTGCTGGGCCGAAGGCTGTTTTGCAGGATGGGGATAGGGTGGATGTGTTTATACTTATAGACCAACAGCAGGGCCAGGTGTGGGGTGAGAATTTGGGAAGTGGGGTATCAGGGTATCAGAGCTCCAGGGCGTGATGGCCAGCCCCAGCTCATCCTCCCGTCTTGTGTGGCTGGGCACAGAGCTGGGTCAGCATGGAGGAGGCAGCACTTTTTCTAATTCTCTTGGAGGCTCTCAAGGGACCCTAGGCTGTTGAGTGGGG